ATGACAAAAAGTAGCGCAATTCTTTTAAGATACCAAGAAATGTAACGCAATTAATGCTCGTGCATCAAACACAAAATAAGTATTATTTTGGTTCGATAGATTTTCAGTTGCATATCAATGATTTGCAAATATATATCAAGATATCCTATATTATATAAAAATGTGTAAAAGTTTATATCAATTCGATATAAAAATAGTATGAAATATTCCTTCTAACAGTCACACGTTTTCGTTCAACTTTAGAAGAATTATATCGTAGGAAAAAAAGAATATATTTCGTTTAAAATTTAATTTTCTTATTAAGTATTCAAGTAAATGATTAATAAAGAAGTGAATTAGTAACATATAATATAAATACAATGGTGATAACAATTTTATACGAGAGAGAATTATTATATCAAAAAAATAAAAACCATTTCCATCGTGCTTTATTATTTATAACTTAAAGATCTAACGCTTACCTTGTTTATACATTTGCATATAAAAATGTGGGCGCTTTATAGCGAGATCGTTCATTTATTATTCGTATTTAATTAGGCATGGAAATTACTACACGTTATTATTATACAGCATGAAATGAAAAATTGTTCGTCCTATGTAATCTTGCGAAACATTATATCTTTTATATAATTAATAATATTTAATGTGCTCATTATGTCATCTTTAAAATCAAGATTTATGATAGTAGCTTTTTTCAGAAATATTTTTTTACAAGAGAAATGAACATATAATTCTGTAAATTTTTTCTCAAATATTTCAGTATAATTCAGCAACATTTTAATAATATTTTAATAATAATAAAACAATTAAGAAAAACATTTCGAGATTCACGTATAATATATTATAAAATATTCTATCCATTATTTTTATTTATAAAAAAATTCAAATATATAATTTTAAAATTATACGATTATATGCCTGATTTTTGTAGAAGCATCTCATCCAAAATTATTTGGCATCATTTCTGACACATTTATCAGTACATGGATAAAATAAAAAAAATTTTAAGTTAAATTTAAAATTACTAGAAATTGAATTTTTCTCTAGATGAATATTCTTGTAAAAATTAATTTGTTTCTTAAATAAAAGACGAAGCGAGGGAAGGACAAAATAATCGCGTGCGACGATATTGATATAGCTGAAAGCTAACAATTTTGTCACAACACGTGATCAGAAGCGGTTCGTTGTCGATTCAACGGGACGTCGCGTTTCTTTCGACGCCTCGAAGGTGCGGGTGTGCCGTCTGATCGCAGCGGAAAAAGCGTTTTCATGGCGCATCGCGCATTATTGCACCGACAGCCGCCGCTTGTAAATGACACGCGCACGCGATGCATGTCGTGGAGAACTGTGCGAATCCGAGCGAGCCGACAGTCACCAGGGGATGGCAAAACCTTGTAATATTCTTCACGACGCAGCAACCGAATAAAAAAAAAAAAAAAAAACAGAAAAAATAAGGATGAATTTTCGTACACACGCACAAACCGCGGCGTTTCGTTTGCATTAATTTGTATACGCGGGAAGCGCGGAAAGAACGAAGCTGAAGTTCTTCTTTTCCACCTGGAGGACGAGGAGAGCCGGCTTTTGCGGTGGACTAGTCGTTACTTCGAGACTTCACGGACAGGTTGTTTATGCATGTTCAAAAATTGACGGTCGAGAGAGACGATCCGCACCGCAGCACGTCACGAAGATTCCGGGAGCCATCCAAGTTTCGTCGGGATTATCCTTTTCGTTTTTAGAAACGCGGCGAGCAAGAGGTCGAGAAGGGTTCGTTTCTTTAATATATTTTTTTATATTTTTTTAAAGAAATGCGGTTTCAAGCGCGTCTTTGAAAATGGAAGAATCTTTTACGATTGTGCAAATAATTACGCTGTTAAACGTGTAATATGAAATAATATAATTTGAATTTGAAATTGTATTTAGTCTAACTTTATTTAAGGAGAAGAACGTTAATTGATATGATGGGAAGATTAACATTTTGAATATGTTAATACAGGTTGTTCTGTAAAAATAGTTTGAGAACACATTTCTAAAGATTAAAATAAAACTGAAAATCTTCTGATACAAATTGCATTTTACTTCGGTATCACGAGTTATTGTGTACTCTGAATATCAGCAAAAACTGGAACGTAATTTATGATGCAAATATTTTTAATATTCTTCTATCCTTGACATTTCTGTCAATTGAGTCCGCTCGGGCTTCGATAATCGGTGTACCAAAGTAATTTACTATAAATATCGAGTCGTGAAGTTTGAAATGTAGCGGTGGTATCGATTAAAAGAAAATACGCGAAACGTGCATATAATGCATATATGCATTATGTACATTTGACGTATCGTGTCTCGCGTTGTCTCGGCGCTGCACAACTTTAATCGCGATATCGTAAATTCGTTGGAACACAACTTTTATTAAACTTTAGAACATGATTTACGCGGGACGACTGATTGCTTAAATTGCGATTACAAGTACGTCTACCTGCCTAGCTCTTGCGCCCTTTAATAGGTCGTTGAAAAATCGGAATATTATTATCATTCATTTTCTTAGCTGGATACACGAATTATAAAAATCTATATTTTTCCTTAACATTTAAATTAAAATGTATAGGTACTTATTTTTTTCTAAATTCATCATACTTAAATTTACTCAATTTTTTTAATGTTAATATATCTCAGATTTTTATCCTATAATTTATATATACTTATTTATTTTATTTTGCAGATTTTAATGCAAAATATTATTTTATGTATAAAAATAATGTCACTATATTTTTATGCTTTTACGTGTGAAGTATGTACATTTCAAAAGTAAAACATGAATGTGAAAATATATATGTTTGCTATTACCAAGAAAAAGGTCTCGTGTGGTGAGGCAGCGAGATTTCATCAGCTGGAAAGGAAGCCACACTAAATACTTTAATTATTGCAGCCAGGTTGCAGACGCAGCCATCTTGGGCATGTGTCGGCGCTGTGATGGATACTTCCGATCATTATACGAACGTATTCTTGAACGTACAATATTCTCAACATCTTGTTCAGAATATCAAAAATTTCAACAAGATTGCAACGTTGTTCTAATAAATTTTAGACATTGTAAAAAATCATATGATATGTATATAAAAATCATATAGATGCATTATTATTTAGTTATCCCAAAACTTATTTTATCCAATCTCACAATGAGTTTTTACTGTCTTTGAATTTCTATTTAATGCAAATCTATTTAATGTTAATTTGAAAACCAATGAATATATATATAATCAGAAAAAAACAAGTGATATATATATTTATTAAAACCTTGTTATTAGATTTCGAATTCTCTCCAGTTTTCTTTAAGACAAAAATTCTAATGATGAATTCTAATGACTTTAATAATCATAATTTTTTTAAATGTAGCAATTTATTTTCTTTATTAAAATCATATGATTTATAGAAATTCAAATAATAATTAATCTCAATTTCAACATATATATTTCCCATCAAAGCTCAATTTTATTCATCAAACAAAAATTGAATTTAATAATTTTCTCTAAAGAAAATAAAATAATAAATATCAAATGACAGATTGACATGTGTGTATAAAAGAAATTAAATAAACCTGAGTATAAAATCTGTATACCATTGTAATCAGTTTGAATCATTTGTAATTTGAAAATCATTTAGATATTTTCGCTTTATCAGGATATTTTCAATTTCAATTTTAATCTTCAGAAATATGTTCTCAAACTACCCTGTATTACCCTGTATTGACACATTCAAAACGATAATCTTACTTTCATATCAATTAACTTTCTTCGCCTTGAGGCAGTATCACATAAGAGACGCATTGCGATGTCTTGCAATTAGAAGACATTGATAAAAAGGACGAAGAGAATAAGAGGAATGGGAGCGGAGGCCGCGAAACTGACCTGAAAAGAGGCGCTTCTACGGAATGATTGCGCGGAATGGGACCACGGAATTCGGCGTAATTCTTTAACAACCCAATTTCACGATATAAAGGAGTCGAGACGCGCTATATAATGCTGCCTATGCCTCCTTCCAAGGAACTCTGTCCGTCATGATCGGACTGTTTTGTGTTTCGAGGGAGGCCCAATAAAGCGTAGTGCCTTGATGTATAAGGGAACACAGTGCGCCCACGGCGCTTATTAAGGCTTCGGATTTTCGTTCGACCCGTCGCTTCGTCTTGACAAGGAAATCGCTTTCAACGTTGCGGCGGATCCGTGGTGTGTAAGAAGCTAGCGTATCATTTCGTGGAAAATATTTGCTTATAATTTTTTTTATTTCTATCATCGCAACTCATAGGAAAGACATTAAATATGCTCAGAACTATATCAGAATTATTTCATTATAAGCAGAATTGTCTAAAATTGAGCGGCGTTTTCCTTCGATATGTTCGAGATTCGCTAGTATTTATTTGTTTTTAATTAATATTTTTTATTTTTATAAGACACAACTCTTCTTAGAATGCTTGTAGAGCTATAAATCTTTTAAATTTGAAGAATTATTGAGAAAGAAATGTCGTATAATAAAATGATGCACTGCGTAAAGTTCGAGTTTTCTTTGGTTTAATCGCCAAAATTATTTATCAAAAACTCTAGAAAATTGAAAATAAATCCAGCACTTTTAATTGTTCATGAATTTCCACGAAATGAGACGTTTTACACACTCCTATTACCGCTGCAAAAATGTTACAAACAATTTCTCACTCACCGATGCAGCGCCGATGCAGCAATAGCGGAGTTGTAGTACACAGCATATTTTTCTGAAAACAAAATATTCAAATTATAGATATACCTATGTGTGTGCGTGTATATTATATATGTATATTTTTTTTTAATTTTTATTTTGCATACCTTACTGTTGCCCCGCTGTCACCCGATGCCTCCCCGAGCCTCCTCCTCCTCTCGTGGTCCTTCGTAGCACTCACGACACTCGCGAAAATACGAATAATTACGATCGCCCGACACTTTACACGGCACTCCCGATATGTAAAATTTTACATAGCACTCCCGACGCGCGATACTTTACACGGCACTCCCGACACGACGCACTGTGTACCGCAATGCTACCTGTAACAAATCAAATACATACTTATATTAGAATAATCTTATTATTTCACATTGTAACATACACAATATAAATAGGTAAATTAGAATTAACAATAGACCCACGGATAAATAAATAAATAATAAATTCGCGCGCGCAAAAACAGGTTAGATTGGGTATGTTGACCATTGGTATAAAAGGATTTGCATCTAATTTCTCGCGAAATATGTGTTTCGAGCAATTACGACTACATATGTGAAGGTTGGGTACGTTAATGATTTTTTTAAAACTAAGTTAAGTTAAAGTTCGTTGCTTATAAAATTAATTTAGTTAAGTAAAAATTTTTATGAACAAAAAATTAACTTAGTTAAAGTTAAGATTAAATTAACTGAAATCAAATCAAAAGTTAATTTTAAAAAATATTGATAATTAATTGTAACATCAAAAATGTTTATTAATTTTAATTAATGAAAGGCTCGTATAAATTCAACAAAATTAAACAATCATATATAGTAGGCCAACTAAACGAGCAAATAAATAAGATGTAAAAATTTTTTATTAATAGTTAAATCATTAAATTAACATTCCGTTACAGAATCGATATAAATTGTAAACGTTTCGACTGCACTACAGTCTTTATCAATACATAAAAATTAAATATTAAAATATAAAGTTAGATGTTAAAAATACAAAGTTAGTTAAATATTAAAATATAAAATTGAAACGATTCTTCGCTGTTGACCAATAGATATGCAAGGCGATTGGTCTGAGATGCCAAGTTATGCGACATTTGAGCATGCTACGGATATAATACGCGAATTAAATCAATGTCAGAAAATATTAAAAAATCTTTCAACTTACATTATCGTTTTAACAAGTCCTTTTCCCCGATATTTCAAGTGTGTGTTGCGAAGTCTGAATACCAAATGTCAAAATAGAGAGCGTGATGTATTTATTTATTACCAATGTTTTTTCTAAATTATGATTCAGCAAAATTTTTTAAGTATGTCAAAATAACTACTGTCTAACAATTCGGTGTCTGTATTTAAATTAATTCCATTAAATACAGACACCGATTGTTAGACAGTAGTTATTTTGACATACTTAAAAAATTTGCTGAATCATAATTTAGAAAAAACATTGGTAATAAATAAATACATCACGCTCTCTATTTTGACATTTGGTATTCAGACTTCGCAACACACACTTGAAATATCGGGGAAAAGGACTTGTTAAAACGATAATGTAAGTTGAAAGATTTTTTAATATTTTCTGACATTGATTTAATTCGCGTATTATATCCGTAGCATGCTCAAATGTCGCATAACTTGGCATCTCAGACCAATCGCCTTGCATATCTATTGGTCAACAGCGAAGAATCGTTTCAATTTTATATTTTAATATTTAACTAACTTTGTATTTTTAACATCTAACTTTATATTTTAATATTTAAATTTTATGTATTGATAAAGACTGTAGTGCAGTCGAAACGTTTACAATTTATATCGATTCTGTAACGGAATGTTAATTTAATGATTTAACTATTAATAAAAAATTTTTACATCTTATTTATTTGCTCGTTTAGTGGCCTACTATATATGATTGTTTAATTTTGTTTATTAATTTTAATTAATTGTACCATTCTAGTTTTTCACTTGAAAACGACCAAAAACAGATGGTCAAAACGTTGTGGAAATAAAATAAAAATTTCTTGGTTAGTTTGGGTCGAATTAAATATATCGTTCCTATTTTAAATACCACTAGCGACGTTTTAAGTATTCAATTTGATTTTAAAAATATTATTTATATTAAATTAGAATTTGTTTAATTCTTTTAAAATTTAAAATATATAATAACAAATAACAAAGGAATTTTGATTTTTATATAGAAATATATTTTTTTGTAATTACAATTGATGACAAATGGACATCAAAATTAATAATATTTTAATTTAAAAATAATACGTTTATAACTTATAAAAAAAACAATAATGATATTCAGAGATAAAAAAATTTAACTTAGGAAAAAAGCAAATAAATTTAAGGTAAAAAATAACTAAGTAGTTAAAATTAAAAATTATTACATTTTATATTGCATTTTATAAAAGTTATTAACTTCTTAACTTTTTTTAACTTTTAACTAATTAACTAGTTATTACCTAATCCTGCTTAATATTAATAATTAATTAAAACTCGAGGGACATTCGGTTGAGAAGATAGCTTCAGAATAAGTATAATTCTCGAAAATCGACTGGCAACTCATTTCAATATCTATAGATAAAGATATCCGGTTGTCTTTGTTTTAGCTTATAATTAATTTTTTCTTTTAAAAGACAGAACCAATTGAAACTTGTGTGGAACTATAAATTTTTAAATCTTATAATTACTAATAAATGCTAGTATCAAACACACGGATCCGTGGTCACAAACGTATATATGTGTATAAGCAGGACAAATAAAAATTTTGTTTGAAATTCATGCGTAAAAAATGCATTAATCCTTTTAAATGTAGAAATTCCACCTTCGCAAAAATTAGAGAGACCATTAAATTTTTTCCCCATTAAAATAAATATTCGCCCTGCAAACATTTGATTGATTAATATGCAATTCTTAAATGTCGTTAGGATAAAGAATATTTATTATGTTTTATTGCATATTTGTAAAGAATATAAAGGGTAAGTCATCGCTGCGATTGCGAAAAAAAAGCATATAACATACGAAGGCACTTTACACGTCTATTGTCGGTTTCCCGTTTATGCAATTGTGTTAGACGACCATGGAACATCTATATGTATATACATACATGCACATAAGAAAAATCTCGCGAGAATGGCGTCGCGTTTTCAAGCCGGATGACCGAGACGGTGAAGCAAAGGAATTGCAGAGCGGAGGTGCGATAATGAATAAATTGGCGGCAAGTATAATGAGTTATACCCGGGATGAAAGGATCTCTGTAAGCGAAGTAGTATGAAGGTCATCTTTGCGAAGCACGATACGCAATTCCTCCCGCTCGTCCTTTTAAATATTTAATTTAGATCGCCGACATTATTTGGGGAGAAAAAGAGATGCACCGACGTGAAAATCACTGGAGCGGTTCGATCAGACATCTTTTACACATCTACTCTCATTTTATATTATATTCAAAAATATAAAAAAAAAGTATTACACGGGACGCTCATTGTCAGTCGCTATCTCTCTATCAAAAACGATGGAGAAGATAAGAAAATGAGATATTCATCAAATTTTTTTGCAATCTAATAATCACAATATCGAGATAGATATGAAAGTCAAGATTTTGATAAATTTAATAATCAAGTTACCGCGCCGTGCATTTTTTTATTAGTTACTATATATGCTACATTTATCACCCAGCTGGTTTTCTCTCTACAGAGATGAAAGTTGCATTTTAATAACCTTGAAAATTTCAAGAGAAAGTGATATATAAATGCATGATCTAATATATTTAGTTGTTAAATTTCCATAAATTTGCATAAGAACTGTTTTTCACGACATTAAAAATTTCTGGGACGCAATCTCCTTCAAACGGTTTCTTTGTGGCACCTATTAATTTCTATGATATCAATGGCAGTGCCGCAATGTACCTCATTGATAGCGTTATCTCGAAGCGCATGCACATGAAGCACGCGATATTAGCTATAAAGCGAACATGGGCAAAAGAATTATACTGAAATTTACGTCAGTTAGCTAAATTGTTCTCACTCTTATATAAAAAGACAATAAATTGATGAATAATGAATTGAACGTCTTATTAAACACTAAGACAGAAAGAAAATCGAAAAGATCAATACACAATTTTTAAAGAGACTAGAGAAACGAGAAACAAAAGATCATAAACCAAAGACTATCCTATAATTTATAAAACGATGTACATTTTCAAATTATTCTTAATGAATATTCTTTCAAAATGTAATCGTTTGAGCAGAGCTAATTATTGATACATATTCACGTTAAATAAGTATATTTTTTCTTATAAAATACGTGAGATTATTTTACAGATAGTCTACAAAGAAGAAGTTAACTCGCTTAATTTTTTTTTACATCAAAAAGAATAAAATTTTAAGTTGTTACATATTAGTAAATCAAAAATATAAATCATTATAAACATAGAAAATGATAAAAATACAAATATAAATAATCTTCTAATAAGCTGACATGAATTTGTAGTAGCTGAATTAATTTGCAAGTGATCCAAATAAATAATTCGTTTAATGAAAACACACAACTGCATAAAAATCGATATCTTTTGAATTCTTAATTATTCCAGATTATAAACTCTTAATATTTATATGTCAAAATAAACACAAATAATTAAATTTAACATGTCTTTCTTAGATATTATTTATTGCAACAACAAAGATTACGATTTGTAATAATCCTCATAATTTTTTATTACTATTTATTACTATTATTATTTTATAGCGCAAATCATGTAACATCAAAGAAGTTAATTGATATTAATATTAATATATTCTCTTATTATATAATTAACAATAAAGTTGCAATTTTCCTTTTTGATAAAATTATGAAAATTTATTGAGAAATCGCATTTTACGCTACCATTAATCTTTTAAACATGTCCTATCGATTTCAATGTGTATCCGACATGTATACACTTAATTACAGTATACTGACTGTGTAAACTCAAATGTAAAGCAAACATCATGCATTGTAGATAGTACACGCTATCCTGATGACTTATCAGTAAAAACGGTCGTGAAAAAAAAGATGCAGAAAATTTCTCATGCAGAACAGTAAGAATGTAAAATTTATACGATATACGAGTAGTAGGTATAACAAAAGATCAGAAACCATAGATCATTAGATCAGAGATCATATTTTGTAATTACTAAAAAAAGAAACGTGTGTCGAAGAAAGGGTAAAAAAAAAAAAACGATTTCCACGACACACAGAGATTCATGTAATTTTTGCACAACAGTCGTCTTTACCGCGGATGCGACTGTCGTTACATTCCATTATCCGGTGGTCCAGCAAGGAGTAAAATG